TAATCCATTAACACACACACACACACACACACACACACACACACACACACACACACACACAAATATATATATATATATATATATAGTCAGCCACAGATAGACGGTTTCGCTGTATCAGAGCTCATCAGTGTGTCTAGATGTCCGGTTGCGTCTAGCTAGGAGCGAAATCCGTCTGAATTGGTGTCAGTCGGGATTCTACCACTAAGCCGTTGGCGCACGACAGGAATGAAGGTGAATTTAAGCGTATTTATCTGTTGTTGTTTTTTTTTCGTTTTTTTTTTCAATTTGTAAGTCTGATGAATTGGATCGTGATTACGATTCCAATGTAATAAATTATAACTATGGAATATTAGTGCTTGAGCATTTTATTATATATATACTGGACTTTCCCGTCGTTTTTAACTTATGAGGTCCATAGAACCAACAGCCAGACTACCCACCCATATCAAGTGATTATATTGGTGCAGAACCAACCACACTTTTGGAAGAGTCGAATACAAGGAACTGGTGTCTATATAACGAAGGCAATTTTGACTTTGTCTGATATATATATATATATATATATATATATATATATATATATATATATATATATATATATATATATATATCAGTGAAAATTCAAAGGACTTATATCATACCATTTGATGTTTCACGGAAAATCGTCCGCTCGTTAATAAGATAAATCTAATTTATCCTTCCCTGATGAGCGGGACGGTTTTTCTGCGAAACTTCGTGTCAGATAATAAGTCATTTGAACTTTTGTTTATCTGATAATGAATGTTGGCCTATATTTATTACTGAGCATTTTATTTGCAAAAAAAAAATATCTGTTCGCCTTAAACGTACTAGCATCTGGTTTAATTACTGATCGATGTGCTTGGTCAGGCTTTAACGCTGTTTTACACACACACACATACAAAAAACACACACACACACATATATATATATATATATATATATATATATATATATATATATATATATATATATTATAATTATTTTTAAAAAAATATGATTCCTTCGCTAATTGAATTAAAGCAACGAGCTCTGTTTCATCCTCAAGCGAAATTTTTGGAATGAAAAACTTTCGCTTGAGGATGAAATAAAACTGGATGCTTTAAATCAATTTAATTTTAATAATTATATTGAAGTTTTTGGCTCCTGTTTTTGAAACATGACAACTCTTGTGTAGCGAAGGAATCATATTTTTTTTTAAATAATTATAATTTAGGCTCTACTTTTGTATTGAGCACTGTTTCTTTTAAATAAAAACAAAAATACTAAAGAAATTCGGATTATTTACCTAATGTGTTCTTTCCTATTTTTCTATATATTTGCAAACACACACACACACATATATATATATATTTAAACATTTCACCCCCAAGCAAGGCGGGAGTGCCACTAGTACTCAAGACACTGCAGAGAGTGGAAGTAAGATAAAAGACTGGGTATAAGGGGGATTGGGGAAAAGATAAAAAGAAGAACGGGGATCAATGCATCAGAAGATGTCGATTGACATTACATTTAAATTATGGAAGATTATAGTTATCAGGGAAACAAGTAAGAAGAAGGGAGTTCTATAGTCAGGAAGTGCGAGAGAAGAAGCTGTTGGAGTAGAAGAGGCGGTTACATTTAACGGTTTCAACAGTAAAATGGTGGGACCGAGAGGCCAACGTAGTAGCACGCTTAAATTCATGCAGTCGGGGCACCAGTGAAAATAGCTCATCAGAGCAGATGTCATGGAAATATTTACAGAAAAGACATAGGGAAGCCGCATTGCGTCGATGAGAAAGTGACTGGAGTGGAGACCCCAAGTAGGGAACGATCACATTGCATATCCATCTTTGGATTTTGTCGAGAACCTCGAGATGAACAGCGAGGCCACCAGACCATATATGGCAACAGTATTCCAGGCATGGACCAATGGTAGATTTGTAGATGTGAAGTATGGACTCAGACGAGAAAAACCTTGTGGCGCGAAACAGAGAACCAACTTTCTTTGTGGTAGATGCAGCTATTGATTCAATTTAATTGTTCCACCTCAGATCAGTGGAAAACGTGAGACTAATAAGGTGTAGTGAGGCACTCTCGTAATGTCGAGCATCAGCCATGCCGATAGGAGGCAGGGAATTTTCTCTATGTTGAGTAAATGACAGCAGTTTCGTTTTGGATGCATTAAACTTCACAAGCCATTTCCTGCCCCAGTCAACCACAGCTTGGAGTTCGTTTTCGAGACCAACGGCCAGGTTAACTTTGTCAGCAATGCCGGATTTTCTATTGAGACAGGAGTAAATGGTGGTGTCGTCTGCGTAGATGCCTACTTGAAAACTGATGACGTCAGGAAGGTCATTAATGAAGATCAGAAACATTGTAGGACCAAGGATAGACCTTTTAGGAACACCGGCGTTCGTATGAAAGGAAGAGAATCCGTTCAGGACAACTTACATTTCATGGTTAGACAAAAATGACTGGATTAAATCAAATAATCGTCTTG